GGTAGGTATCATTGATCGCCCAATTACAACAGCGACTCATGACCTGGGTCTGGGAGTCGGATAAAGGTCACAGAATCTTGACATTGAACCAGGAAGTTAGTCGCTTGCGGAATGAGGTGAGTTACTCAAGGGCTTCATTTTCTCTCATCTCGATTCATCCTGACGAGACATGTGTTATCAAGCGTGGGACAGTATGCACATTCTCAACTAGATGTGTTGGTTACAATATGTAAATCCTGAGGGGATTTTGGAAATTTCTTATTGGTCTCTGTGAACTACTACCCTTATTCATGTGTAAGTCCTTAAGTCAGCCGGGGAAATCAGACATATATTCCAACATTGGTGTCATCAGTGTGAGAGACGTCGAACGTTCGTCTCCGCTTGTCGGTTGACAGTCAACGAAGACTTGACAGCCCCCACGTGTCGTCCTCATAGAATTGAATCCAGTGATCCATGAGATGAATGACTAGGTTATGCGTCTCCATAGCGAGAGGGAGACCCAGCTGGAGAGCTATTATGATGGGCTGTATCATCATCAGAAACCTGATCGGATCCAGGTCAGACTGTGGACCACGCTTTGAGCGCTTATCGACAACCTCAGGATATTAAGCGTAGCGCAGAAGAAGGAAATGAGAAGGACAGGGTACAAACTGATCAACAATCAAGGGAGATTGAAACGCTTCAGAAGGAAATAAAGTTACTTGAGTCAGTAGTCGTGCCTTCAAGGATGTGTGTGCAATGGGCATGCTTCAGGGCCGATAACAGGCGTCTTAAACAGGAGCAACAAACCTTGGGAAATCGAGGTAGGCAGTGAAGGCGGACACAGCCGAAGAGGAAATTCACAAAACTATTCCGTGAAAATTTAGCGCTTTGGTTTTATGAGGACATCTGCCGTTTTCCTCGGGAGAGTTGTTATCAATGAATTTGTTGACAGACACTACCGACGGCCGCGAAGATATTGAGATCAACGATTTGCGTGTTGGTGCGAACAGGATTATTGAAATCATGCAGAAGGAAATCAAAGTCAGCTACTTACTATCGCTCGTTCCTAATCATGCTACTGTAGGATTATGAAGCCCACGTCACTCAGCTGCGCATGGACAATGACGAGCTACGCTTGAAATTGACGAGAGGGTCGAACACACTGACTCTCCCCATTCATGTGACCAGTCCCGTATCCACCATACCGGTAGGATGTTCGTGCCGATGCGCTTTTATATGTCTATCAGAAAAAAGAAGAGTATCCAGAGTTTGCTAGAAAAGATTCATCAACGTCGCCTATGATGCCGTATCCTCCCCAGCACGATCAGGTAAATGTGCTCAAGTTACGGTATGTATTAGACTGATCTGAATGGACGTATACCACATAGAGGGTGGGTGATCTCTCCCGTTGTCTCTCAGCAAAATCGGGAGATCATCGAGCAATTAAGAGAAGATAATCTCAGAGCTCAGCAGAAACTTGAAGTCTCGGAAAGGGAACGCAAGAGGCTTGAAGAGGTTGATCGTGTCGTGGGGGCACGTGAGACTGTCTCGTTACAGTCTATAAAGCATGGCCCGAAGAAGCCCGAGAACGTCACCAGCCCAACACAGAAACAGATGCGTATGCTCAAACGCCAGGTGAGTTCCGCTCGATAAATAACTCAATAACAACGACACAATGAAAGCTGTATTTGAAGTCTTTCGAGGATTTGCAGAAGGTTCGGGCCCTGCCTGTATACCGATCAGGTTGTGATGAAATCTGCGGAGATAAGTCGTATGCGTGAAGTGTTGGACGAGCTTAAGAAGGAGACCATAAGGCTAGTCCAACGGCGAGAGGAACATGTGGGGTCATCCTATGCAGGTGTCTGAGGATCACGCGTTTTCCATGGCAGAATTTCAGAGTCTCGAGGAAGCACAGAGCGAATCCATGACCACATATGTCTCTTGCCTGATCGTATCTTTACCTCATCATTATTGTGTTCCTTCCTGCTCCTGATAGCTGACACTAACACATTCACGCGCTGGTTTTCGTAATTTCTAGAAAAAGTTTTAGAAGCCAGAACGATTTCTGGAAACTACGGAGTCTTCTGAAATGACAAGGGTTTTTCTGTTGCCAATCTTTTCCGATGGAAATTCTCCAATCATTTCTCAAATTCTGGAAAAACAGGAAAGACGGCTGGAAGATGCTTGATAATTATGGAGAAGCATTGAAAAATGAATCTTTTCATCCATCCTGATTGCTATGGTCACGCTGGATGATTATTCAGATGCTCTACCTTCGAGCCTGTCCGAAACTACGTAAATGTTTTCTATATAGGGGGAGCGTAGCTGATTGCCGTTCCGAAAATCATCTTTCCTTGCCTCGGGTTGGAACTGCCTTTTGAGGCAGGTTTATCAGCGCCCAACTCACACGATGTGCACCGACGATGTGTCCTCCAGCGACTAGGAGCCGTTGCCCGAACGAAAGTCAGTAAGGTCGGGTGGATGAGTACTAAGTTAGTTCTACTAACTAACACTTCGTAGTCGCCTGAGAAATGTAGCCTAAAAGTGCTCCCCAAGACTTGCATTCGATCTCATTCAAAGAGATATCTTCATTGTAGGCTACAATTTGTAGATGACTCATCTAGCTGGTAATCTTACGGAATAGCTCATCTAGGATGAGTTAATCTGTAAGATTCCTAGCCTAACAGCTAAATGAATGACAGCAGACACCTCTGAGATGTGTATTCCCTGAGCAGATTCTTAAGCAGAGAGGTGACCTCTCTGCTTAAGAATCTACAGCACAGAGGTTGAGCTTATATATACCCTCCAGCAGGGTGGAACAGGAATCGAGATAGTAGTAATAACTCATCAATTGGTAACTCAACATTAAATAGACTCCCTCTGCAATGCGAGGATGCCTCGATCTTTTAACTCTGGGCATTTACTTCCGGTAATTCACACCATTAGTCTTCGCATGCCAAATGCAGATCTGTCCATTTCACATGAGCCAGTAATCAGTAGCAGAATCAATCTCATTCAACTATCATCCCAGTCTCGTTTCCTCAAGCCCATTGATCGAATCTCAGAATCATCCAATCAGAGTCTCACGAACTTCTCCGATTCGGTCTGAACGCGCTTTGCTCTAAGCATATATTCACTCTAGCCTGCACCCGATGCTCATACCACTGATTTCCATTGACAATCACAACGTGTGAGTTATCAACTCGAAACGACCTAGCGTCGATACAATCCGGCAAATAGAAAGATTGATCCTCCCCGGAGGAGTCCTTTCAAAGGACCTCCGAATAATGAAAATTTTCCAGCTTTGGAAAGTAGGTTGGTCCGAAATAGCTCCTTCGAGTGACCAACTTTCAGTTCTCATGGAAGAACAATCCTGTGGTCGGGCCCCAACTGGTAGTTATACTGTTCCTCTTGGGCTCAATAGTTCTATATGTGTATAACAAGGGTTTGTCAAAATCTTTAATGGTAATTTCAGAACTCTTACATGCGTTGATCTGCTTCGCGAGGTCCGTCCCAGCATAAGAGATAGTGAACTTGTAATTCATCATGCCTACATGGATTAGCTGCGAATATTTCACACCGCTCACAGAAATGGCACAGCCATAGAGGTTGACATGGATGTTCAGGATGTAATCGGGATAGAAGGTGAGTTTACCAGACACATCGCCATCGGGATCGTCGTAGTACTCTCCCATGGGTGGGGGAACCGCCGACAGCGATGGAACCACAATGCTTCCGCAGAAGGACGCGAAGAGGATGAAAGCTGACTGCTTCATAGCGGTGGAGGACAACCGAGCTGAGAGAAGGTTACATACAAACTGGGAAGTTAGCTGTTTGGATAGACATGGGAATGTATGCCAGCTCAGTGCGTACGCATGCTCAAGT